GGGGCGGGGGGGGGGGGGGGGGTGGGGGGGGGGGGGGGGGGGAGGTGGGGCATATGTTATGATGTAATTTTGGACGGTGGGTCTGGAGTTCTCCCGAAAAATTGTTTCCCAAATGCACAGCAATGACATTTCTCAACTTGTGATTATGATGGTGATAATGATATTGATGATAATGGTGATCAAATCAAATCAGATCAAAATAACATTTATTTTCTTAAAACTGAAAATATCAAGGTATATTAATACTGCATAACCAACAAAGCAAAGGCTTGTGGAAGGCATGCCTAAAGAATGTGAAAAGAAAATACATGAATGGATGAATGAATGAATGATGAATGAATGAATGAATAAATAAATAAATGAGTAAATAAATGAATTAAATAAATAATTAAATTAAATGAATGAATGAATAGATGGATGGATGGATGAATGAATAAATATGATGGTGATGATGATGATGATGATGATGATGATGATGATGATGATGATGATGATGATGATGATGATGATGATGATGATGATGACAAACAGTTTGAGAGAGTGACGATAGGAATGCTCTCGAAGTGAATCCATCATGAAGGAGGGAAAGAAAGGTAATGTAGTCTGTGTGCAGGGCGAAGGCTTTGGCAAAAAGCAGATGTTTGGAAACGCACATCCTTGCTGTCTTAGGGGTCTGTTAATGACTGAACTCCTTCCAATTTGAAAATGTAATATTAAAAAAGAATAAATGTCATTTACTAATCTGCGTCACTTCGTAATAAATACGAATGTATAACAATTTCTATTGTGCATTATTTACAAATAACACTAATTCCTGGTTTATCTTGAACTCTTTTTTTTTATTACAAAATATATAATTATTGCCGTTTTGTATACTTATATTCTAAAAAAAAAATAACATATTCTATAAAAACATCATCTAATACGTATTTCTAAATTGCTCAATAGTTTTTTTTAATATCTTTCAAATGTAGTATTTACATACAAACAGTTTAAATAATATGCTTAAATTAGAATTAAAAATACTACAGAAAACATAATCGTATTTTATATTTTATATACATCCAACAGTAGTAATAATATTGATAAAATTATGATACAAATTTATTATTATTTAGACACTCCATATGACTGACTCAAGGTAAATAGGCCTGTAAAACAGGTCTACCCTCTCTCACAATACCGTACCGTAAAACCTCGATAAGAATCCCTTCTTTTGTTTTTAAAGATGGGATTCTTTCCGAGATGGGCTTGTTTTTTAGATTAATTTCGCCAAAATGAATGCTGTAAATATTTTTGCTACTATACAATGGTAAAGAGGAACTGGAGACACTTTTTAACCATAAAATAAGAAATTCCGTGTAATTTTAACAAGAATTTTAACAAGAAAAAAAAAAGAAAAATTTAAAAAATATAATCATAATCAAACCATGGAGGATCAAACGTTCCGACGACAATCTGTTGGACATCTAAATAAATACATAAATTATCAATCTTTTGATATAGCTTATGGCCATAAAATAACAAATGACACGACTTGGAGTAATTTATTAAACGTGTATACATTTGTAATATATTAATTATGTTAACAATTTTTTTTCTTCTAATGAATTTATATTACAACCAAGGCAACCCCTAAAAACACTTTCTCTATTTTTCGGCTTCTTCAAACGGAATGCATGCACAAAAATCCAGTTGATCATACGTAATCTGTACCGTTTTGGTTATAATCGTCCAGTACCGTAATTTAACCATGCTGCAATGAAATAACATTGATACGGCACGCTATCATAATGATAAAAGAACGTCAGTCTGTGTCACATAGTATATGGTATAATAACCCGACTTTACATAAACTATAAACCAAGTGTTTGTTTCTGTTTCTTTGAAATTCGATTACAATGTATAGTAACTGTCTCGAAAAGAAGCCCGTACTATCTAGAATAGAAGCCTATCGGAGCTCGTACTATCTAGAATAGAAACCTATCGGATTATTTTAAGAGATGGACTTCTTTTTGAGATTACTTTTGAAAACTAAAGAGGTGGCGGAAGTTCTTTTAGAGACCCGGGCTTCTTCATGTGATAAAGCCAATATTACTTCTATTCGAGGTTTTACGGATATGATACTCTAACGTCATCGCTGTTTCTTTTCCATTAGTAATATTGACGAAATAACTAAAGAAAAATCTAAATATATGAAGCTACAACTGTTGAATGTAAATTATGAAATAAATAAAATATAAATAAAAGAAAAAAAAACTACGCTAGAGTTTATTTAATTGATTACGAGTTTTGTATGGTCTGCCATGGTTCAGGCCTGCCAACTCCAAACAGGAGTAGTCATTCGTTCCTGTACTACAACCACCACCGTCATCCCTACCTCCGTCGTTTCTGTTCATATACGTTGGACGGGAACTGAGACCCGGGGGCTTTACAACTTCGTTTGGTCCTGCATAAACATGTTCAAGATCTCGATAATCATAATCATAATCATAATCATCAATAACTCGATTGCGTACAAACGCATATTCATCGTTTCCTATATACAGTGACGAATACATACTGCTGTATGTGTTATCACTAATGGAGGCCACAAGCTTCCTGTGTTTGTATTTTGACTGTGCATCTGCTGTCATCCTTGGGCGTTCTGGAGGAGTGTAATATCGTGCAATACCAGGAAAGCTCATCTCATTTTTTGCTTGTGGTAATGTTAGAATTCGGCGTTCAGAAGAAGCAAGCGTTAAAGATGAGCCTGTCGATGAGTAGCTAGCCGTATTGTTTAGGTTGTTATGTTTACGTACAGGTTTGTTGTGCTTTTTAAACCAATATGTTAGGAAGATTGCCGTAAACAGAAATGTTAAAACAAATGTTATAGCGATAGTAATGAATACACCGGCTAGAGAGACGTGTACCATTGAGTAATTCGTGGAACACAGGTCAACATTTTGGTCTCCATCCTGACCAACTACAATTTCATCGGTGTACACAACGTCAGGCAGTGACTGGTCACTTTTTCCACAAGAATTACATTCACAGAGGACATCCACATTAAAGTATTTTTGAGCTTCACCGGCGATGTTTTTAGCACTGCAAATATATTCGCCTGTATGACTCATCTGGGCGGCGTTAATCAACAAATGTCCATTGGAAAGACGTTCAACTTGTGTTGGATTAACTCTTGGAGGGAGAGTCCATAAAATGTTTGGCATTGGCGACCCACTTGCCTCACATTTGATCATTACATTATTTTGCACTTTTGCCAGGATACTTGTTGTTGTAGACGTGATGTTCGGCTTGATGCACTTTAGCCTAAATGTTACAGTCCGAAGGTCCTCCTCTTTCAATAAAGATGGAGTTGCACATCTAACAGGTGAGGTAGTGAGTATACGTCGAGAAGTCATACGCGCACGTAACCAAATGCGCAAATATTCAAGTTGACAGTCACAAATTAGAGGATTGTTTTCCAGTCCAATTGACACTAATGAACGAGCATGTTGTAAAATATTTGGAACTGTCTGCAGTTTGTTATTCCCAAGGTATATGGTCTGTAAACGGACAAGGCCAAGGAATGCGTTTTTGGATATTAAAGATATGTTGTTTGAGAGAAATGAAATGAGCTGCACATTTCCTAAGCCAGTAAGATTATCATCAGAGATGACCTTCAGCTTATTGGCACTGAGGTAAAGATGTACCAATGCTTTCATAGGTTTGAGAGCACCACTTTCAATATGGCTGATACTATTGTGAGCAAGGTCGAGAATCTTTAGCTTTGGTATGCCAGCAAACGCACCAACTGAAACTTTTTCTAATCTATTATGCCGTAAGTATAGTGCTTCCAGACGTTGGAGATAGTTAAATGCTCCCGGTTCGATAGTAGAGATATGATTATTGTTGAGAATCAGTTTTTCAAGATAAGGTAAATGACTAAAAGCATTCCTCGGAATTTTTGTAAGTAGATTGTTCTCAAGAACGAGTTCCCGCGTTTGCGGATGCACTATGGGAATGCACGTAAGCTGTCGCCCAGAACACTTCACGATTCTTTCTTTCTGATTCACCACAGAACAAGTTGGTTTGCACATTGCCGACGTTAGCCCCGAGTTAAAGATAATAATGACCATGGCCAATACCGCTTTTTGTGCCCACATGCTCATTTTCTGCAAAGAAAAAAACTTATTGTTTAACTAATAATAATAATCATTTCTAAAGCACATATTTTTCATTGGTTACAAAACAGTCCTGTGAGTTACCTATTTTTTCTGTAATTTCTCTCTTACCTAGACAAGTAATTCAAACAAACACCAAACATTCCAATCTATTCAACTACACCAGTGCACGGAAGATAGCCGTAAGCCAATGCACCTCAAACTAAAATTCAGACCCTACGATTGGAAACTAAATCGTTTACGAATGTTAATTATCAGTGTGACAAGTAGGCCTAGGCCCATTACAAGAAGGCATATTTTGTGCCTGGATTATAAAGAGATATCCCATTCCTTGTGCTATCACGTCAAAACAGTATTACTTGCGCCGTGCACGTATAGTATCAGAAAAGGTAAAAAATTAACAGGTCATTAAATTTTACCAAATTTGTCTGCAAGAATTGGAAACGCATAATAGGGAATTATGATTGACGAATATATCGGTTTTACACAAAAATATCTATGTCCAGAAGATTTTATATATATTTTTCCGATATGGTTAACATTATACTATACATACGTATTCGTAATATAATCTTCTAGCTATTATCTATAATCCTAAAAAAGATGTAAATTTAAAAGCTTACCTCGGAAGTTTAGGCCTACTGTATTTGTATGACTTACGGAGCGCTGTGAATATTAACTTTATTCATTTACTACATAGACCTGAGTACTAATAAGACTGAAGAAACTCAGACAACCACTCAGCACTATTGAATGGTAGATATGTAGTCTAGACCTTTGGCCAATAAGAATGCATTGTGAAATGACGTTATCCGGTGAGTTTGATATTCAAAAGGAAGTAACATAACGCATAGAACAGTTTCTGTGACCCAATTGTTCTTTGAAATCTGTCGCATGTTTAGGGCTAGATAAAATTTCTTAATCCGTCCTTTAAAGCTTATTTACCATTCAATTGTAAGTACCATTCTCGCATAGTATAAACTTCTCTACTTTTTGATAGTACCGGTACTGTATTTTATATTACGCCGCACCAACAAACGTGATTTTTTTTTCGCTAAGCACCGCGGCGCTTATTCGATATTATTCTATACCCTATGTGTAATGAACACTTTGAGAAACAGGGTTTTATATACAATGTATACAGTGTTCAAATGAACGAATAACACAATGAAGACACAAGCATATATTTATAATATGTTTATTTACGATGATGTGGGCATATGATAGGTAGGATACCGTAAGTAACATGGGAACGGTCATGAAAAGAGTATCATTACGATATTTTTTTAATAAACACCGCTCTCTATTAAACGCCTCACTCGATTAAGGACCACACATTGAAGCCTCCAAAAATATTATAAGCACCGCTGCGCTTATTCGATGATTTGCTTCTTGTGTGTTAATCTTCGATTTTTACTCATGATTACTGGTTATGGCGGGTTTCAAGTTCAGTATAAGTTGCAGTTTCTATAAGTTGTATAAACACAAACGAAAATGAAACGATTACACACGTTGACATTATAGAAACATACAATTTATTCAAGACGAATATTTCTGACACGCCTCTCTCCTTCCTCAGCGCAAGTCGTTGAATGAGAAATCAGAAAACAATGTTGAAATGGCCTATATCAAGGCCTATGCCATTTCACCGCCAACACGACAGTTATTGGGTAATTGTTTACACTTTACACTTGCTCATTATGACATGCATTATCTTTGAGTTTTTGTTTTTCTCATTCATACGACTTACGCTGAGGCTGTCTCTTATACACATCTAGATGTGTATAAGAGACAGGTAGAGAAAATCCGATCAGAATGACAAAATAAACTAAGTATCCACTGGAAGGAATCCCAATATCTGCAGACGGATCCGTTTCGGCCTTCCTCGGCCCATCAGTGCAGCTAGGGTATAGACCCAAACAAACGTTCGACCAGCTTAGGTAGGGCCCAA